TGGCGCCCAGCGTGATCTGCCACAGCGCCGGGAACAGCGGGTGCGAGTCCGGGGGGCAGCGGCGTCGGGCAATGAGTCTGCTCGGCGAGACCTTGGCCTCCAAGCTGGGGCCCGACGCCCAGGCCTCCGCTCGGCCCAGCGGCTCGCCCCGCGCCCAGACCCGCGCGATGAGCTACCGCGCCTGGATCATGGCGTCCGGAGTCTGCAGAGCAGTGGCAGCGGGCCATGGCGCCGCTCGGCAAGATGCTGGCCTCCGCGCTGGCTGGGGCCCGACGCCCAGCCCTGCGGTCGCCCCTCCGCCCTGCCACCAAACGGCGCGCCGCGCGCCTGGCCCCCCGCCCGCGCCGCTCGCATCCAGACGCGCACCTTCGCGCGGACGCACTCTGGCGCGCGGGGGCCATCAGATTGCGCGCATTGGGGGCGGCCGCGCGGCGCGATGGCCACGCCGCGCGACCATGTGGCGAGTTTGGGGGGGGGGCCCAGGATGAGCGCGCTTTCCGAGCGCCTCGCGCCGCTTGTCGCCCGACCGCTTAATTTGGGGCCCCACCAATTTGAACACAAGTGCGTTGCGCGTTGAACGTCGACGGGGCGATTGGAGGTCCCAGCGGCCCGTTGGCGCAGCAGGTGGTTCGCGCGTGAAAAACTTTCGCTGCGCGCGCGGCGTGGATCTCCCAGAAGTTGGCCCGGGCACAGGCCGACGCGCCCCCGCTCGGCCCTGGGCCCCGGCGCGCGCCCGCGCCGACGCGTCGACCGCGCTCGGCAGCGCCGCCGCCGCGCGGGATCAAACGTGCACAATGCAGGGGCAGTCGGCGTTTCAGCGGCGCGCGGCGGGTCGACCCGCCAATGTCTTGGCAATGTCAGTCGAGTCCCTTCCAGCCAGATGCTCAAATGGAAGCGGAGAGGTCAACGTCGCCCCAGTCGGCGAGCGCGCTCCAGACTCCGCGCACAGTAGCAGGGGCCTCGTCGGCCGCTGGCCCGAAGCCGCCAAGGCCTGCCCGCGCCCGCACGCAACCGCCGTTCTCGAAAGAAAGGTCGGCGATCGCGCTCGGTGATGCGGCGCGCCCGCGGCGGGGCCCCCCGCCAGGCAGGCGCGGCCGGAGCCGGCGGCGGCGCCGTCGGCTCATCTCGAGAGCGCGACCGTCGCGACCAGATCGGGGTGGGAGCGGCCGCTCTGGCCTCGCCGATCTCGTCGACTTCACGCCTGGTCGCGGCGGCGCCCCCGTCTGCGCCAGTTGCGTTGCTGTGCATTGCTCTGCATTGGTCCGCGCTGTGTCGCTTTGCTTGCCAGTGCGTAGCATTGCGAAGCTTCGCGTTGCATTGCGTTGCCTTGCGTTGAGTTGCCTTTCGCTGCATGGTCTTGCATTGCGCCGCATGGACTGCGCCACATAGCGTGCTCCGCGTTGATTGCGTCGCCAAGAATCTTGTTTCTAAAATGGAATGCGGATCTAGCGCCCTCCCCTCGGCCCGGTTCATCGCCCCCCCGTCAGTCTTTCTAGATTTGATCTCGCGATATCCCAGCCAAACCGAATTCGACTTCCCCATTTCACCATCCCATGCCATCACACCCGCATATAAAACATCATCAGTCGTTAGAAACCCAGCCAGAGCACGACGCGAGCTGCGTCCGCGCAGATTGTCGCGCGCGCACGCCGACATACTTCGATGCAGTTACCCTGTGGCGTACCCAACCCATTTGTATCAATGGAAACGAGGAGTTTGCCGAAACTTGCATGGACAACCAACTTGATGCGTTAGCTACTTGGTAGGCGTCACTGTGCTGGGCCCCGCAAGCAGGCCTCGAAAGTGGCGACAGTTTCACAGATCGCAGCCCCCCAGGGATGGCGAGGTTTAATTTGAATCTGCGTGTGGCATCACTGTGCTGGGCCCCCCAGCAGGCCTCGAAAGTGGCGACAGTTTCACAGATCGCAGCCCCCCAGGGACGGCGAGGTCTAATTTGAATCTGCGCGTGGGTACCCATTGTGCTGGGCCCCGCAAGCAGGCCTCGAAAGTGGCGACAGTTTCACGGATCGCAGGCCCCCAGGGATGGCGAGGTCTAATTTGACTCCGCCGTGGGTGCCCACTGTGCTGGGCCCCCCAGCAGGCCTCGAAAGTGGCGACAGTTTCACAGATCGCAGGCCCCCAGGGATGGCGAGGTCTAGTTTGAATCTGCGGTGGGTACCCACTGTGCTGGGCCCCCCAGCAGGCCTCGAAAGTGGCCCCGGCGACAGTTTCACAGATCGCAGGCCCCCAGGGATGGCGATGCCCAGTTTGCACTTGCGGTGGGTACCCACTGTGCTGGGCCCCTCAGCAGGCCTCGAAAGTGGCGACGGTTTCACTGATCGCAGCCCCCCAGGGATGGCGAGGTCTAATTTGATTTTGCGGTGGGTACCCACTGTGCTGGGCCCCTCAGCAGGCCTCGAAAGTGGCGACGGTTTCACAGATCGCAGCCCCCCAGGGACGGCGAGGTCTAATTTGAATCTGCGCTGGGTACCCACTGTGCTGGGCCCCCCAGCAGGCCGCGAAAGTGGCGACAGTTTCACAGATCGCAGCCCCCCAGGGACGGCGAGGTTCCATTTGAGTCCGCCGTGGGTACCCACTGCGCTGGGCCCCCCAGCAGGCCTCGAAAGTGGCGCAGCCCCCCAGGGATGGCGAGGTCCCATTTGAGTCCGCCGTGGGTCCCCCCACTGCGCTGGGCCCTTCAGCAGGCCTCGAAAGTGGCGACGGCTTCACTGATCGCAGCCCCCCAAGGATGGAGAGGTCTACTTTGACTCCGCCGTGGGTACCCACTGTGCTGGGCCCCCCAGCAGCCTCGAAAGTGGCGACAGTTTCACTGATCGCAGCCCCCCAGGGATGGCGAGGTCTAATTTGAGTCCGCCGTGGCCCCACTGTGCTGGGCCCCCCAGCAGGCCTCGAAAGTGGCGACAGTTTCACAGATCGCAGCCCCCCAGGGATGGCGAGGTCCCATTTGAGTCCGCCGTGGGTACCCACTGTGCTGGGCCCCCCAGCAGGCCTCGAAAGTGGCGACAGTTTCACAGATCGCAGCCCCCCAGGGATGGCGAGGTCCCATTTGAGTCCGCCGTGGGTACCCACTGTGCTGGGCCCCCCAGCAGGCTTCGAAAGTGGCGACAGTTTCACAGATCGCAACCCCCCAGGGATGGCGAGGTCCCATTTGATTCCGCCGTGGGTACCCACTGTGCTGGGCCCCCCAGCAAGCCTTGAAAGTGGCGGCAGTTTCACGTATCGCAGCCCCCCAGCTGGCACGCAGCGACGAGCGAGGCGAAAGGCAGGGGGGAAGAGAGGGACGGGAGGGGGTGGGAAGGAGACGCGCGAGCAGTGCTCTATTCAAAACGAGAGCCCAACGCAGGAGGGTTGGGGAAAAGCCTCGGGTGCCACAAGGATTTCAGAATTGGGCGCCCCGAGCACATGTTTTGTTTCAAACAAAATCTGTGCAGCATGAGTTCAACGCAAATTGTCTGCGCACGCGCGCTTTCGGGAATCCGACAAAACACCGACGGTATTTTCCCGATCCTGTTAACTAGAAGCGAATGCTACCACACGGGCCTCCTGCGCGAGCGTGCCGAAATCATTCGAGTGCCCTTGCGCGTGAGTTGGTGGGGTGCGGTGGCCTGGTCCTTGTCAAATTATTGAATCACTTCGCTCAGTCCTCCGGCCCTGGAACGCTATTTGGGGCCGTCTTGGGGGCCTGTTGGGGGCTTCTTGGGAACGTCTTGGGGCTCCTTGGCGGCGTCTTGGGTTCCCCTGGGGTCTCTTGGGGGGCTCTTGGGGGCCCCTTGGGGCGGGAGGGGGGGGTAGTCGATGGCAGCCACCCCCTCGGAGGCCACGATCCGGGGTGGCGAAAAATTGCCTCCCCCCAGGGGGTCGCCCGGGACCCGGCCGGGGGTCAGCGGGGGTACTTTTCGTCTGGGGGCTCCCAGGGGCCGCCCCGCGCGCGCGAACTAGAACTATTGTTAAGTAGATGCCGGAGATTTTTGCACGCCTGTGGCCCGTTGGGCCGGCGAATTCAATACGGGCCACTCGCGTCCGTCGGCCGCGCTCGCATGTCGAAATCCAACGCCTTCAGCACCGACGCGTGGACAACATCATCGTCATCGGATTGATCAGCATTGACGCCGTCGTCATCTTCATCGTCATCGTCGCCACCAGCATCGCTACAATCATCATCGTGGCTGCAGTTGTCGTCGTCGCTATGATACCGCGCTCGCCCGAGTTACCGACTCACTCTGACGCGCCCTCGCGCCAGCGCGGCCTGCGGGAAACGCTGGGAGGACCCCAGCGGTCAGTGACACCGAGGCCGTACCGGTCGCGCCACGCTAGCCGGCCGCTCTGCGCGCGAGCCTGCGCGCGTTAGCGCAGCCGCAGCGACGCGCCAGCCAGCGCCAAGCAGTCAACCCAATCGCCGCCGCATGGGTTTTGAAAACCAAGTGGTGGGTTGGTGGGTGGGTGAGACGATTGCGCGAAGAGCCGAGTGGACAAGTTCAAATCCTGCACGGGGAAGCGCACCGCATAGACGGCAATTAATTGTTGTTTGGGGCCCACGCTGGAGAATATGGCTTCTGAATCGTAGAGACGGAGGACGAAAGCTCAGACCTTCCACACATTCAAACAGTGGAAGGAGGTGGATGAAGCAAGAGGAGGGGGGGAGAGGCGGGGACAAAGATGGACTCGTTAAGTCCAACCCCTGTCCCTTCCCACTCTTCCGATCAATCGACCTTCCCAGTTCCCATTTCTTTCTTCACCCTCTCCGTTTGCCGTCGCGAGGCAGTGTCTGACGGCCACAGCGCTCGGGGCGGGCTCCTGCCCAAATCGAGGACAACGCGAGTGGTTTGTTCGCGACGTTTGGACATCTGATCCGTGAGCCCCAACATCGACCCTCTGCTGGATTGCGCCCCCGTCAGTGGCGGATCAAGCCGTGGTTACGAGGGCGCCCCCGGAAACCACAAGAAGGAGTTTGACCCCCTCTCCCCCGATATTCGCGCCAGGAGCAGCGGCAGGATATCAGCCTGGCCGAGCAGGGCCGCCGCCAGGAGGCCCAGGAGCTGGAAAACTCAGAGGCGACCGCGGTTGTCGGCGGCGTCGTTTTCGGCACCCTCGTTGTCTTTTTGGTCGCCGTCGCCGTCGTTGTCGTTGTGTTGCAGTGTTCGGAGTCGTCGTCGCCTCAATTGGCGTCGTCGACGTCGACAACGTAGTCGTCATCATCTTCGCCGTCATAGTGTTCCTCATCGTCGGTAACAGTAGGAGGGTGATTGAGGGAGAAGGAGGAGGAGGAGGAGGAAGAGGAAGAGGAGGAGGAGGAGGAGGAGGAGGAGGAAGAGGAAGAGGAGGAGGAGGAGGCGAGCGCACAGGAGACAAACGGAGGTCTCAGGATGTTTCGGGGAGTCCCCAGGGGTCTCTAGAGGCCTCCAGAAGCTCAAGAAGGAACAACAACGTATTACACTGTTGATCTTCGAACGAGGATCATGACCGACGAGGGGTAGGAGGAGCATCGAGAAACCATCATCTGATCGAGGATACAGGTTTGCTAATGTTTTTGGACGTTCTGTTGTTTTGTGTTTCAAAGACCTCCTTGGGAGCGGGGAAGAGGAGAGGGACAGGACATAGCTCTGAATTTCTGCCCTGGCGTGTTCCAAGAAGTCACCCATCTCTACGAATGCGGCATTAGCAGTGTATGTTTGCACATAAGGCCTTGCAATGTTGCACTTCGTCCCTTCTCGCTGCATCCCGCCCGGGTGCCACCAGCATGAAAAGGATGAGGGGCTTCCTCTTCGCGTTAAGGAGTTGACCGTGTATTTGGGATTGTGGGAACATGACAGCATTCGGGAGTTCATTTGCCCCCAGTGTTTAGGCGGCATGGGCCGCAGCCACGTAAGCATCATCCGCTTATCGTGGTGCCAACACCATCCCATCGTTCACCAATCCCAGGCGAAGTCAGCAGCGACACGTATGGGAGGAACTGTTGGAGTGCGGTTTCAGAAACCTACACGTCAAGGCCCATGAGAGGCGCGTGGAGGAGTGAGTGGTGGTGGTCGTAGGTATGTCTTTGCTATAATGGTGTCCTCCTACCCCTCTCAGCGCCAATGCTTGCAACAAGCCACCACCCCTTCGTAAGCCCCACGTGATAATCATCATCCAAGTCCTCCTTGTCCTCCTCATTCTCCTCCTCATGGTTGTCATCGTGGTGGGTTCGGAATGGCGGTATTCACGAAGGCCTCGTGGAGAGATCTTGAAGTGATCTGGCGAGTGGTCTCGTGTTTGCCTCCCCCGATATTCTTACCACAGCATCATGGGACCATATCAGGATATCAGGAGGGGAGGGGTAAAATGAGGATGGGAAGGACGAGGACGGAGAAAGAGGATGGTGGGCTTGGACTCCGAGAAGTTTGAGCGGGGGCCTCATGGAAGCCCTCGTCGCCACACCCGCGTCGGCATCCCGGTCAGAACGGGCTCCAGAAAAGATCGGGGGGATCGATCCGAGAGAACGAGGCTGAGGAGGAGGAGTCGAGGGAGGCCGACGACTGAAACGAGACATATGTGGAGAAGGTGCGATATGGAAGATTATCGTTGATGATGCTTTTGCTGTCCGCGCTGCTGGCGAGGCGTAGCTCTAAGGCCAAGGGCCCAAATATTGAGCGAAAACGGTTGCGGACGAGAGGGGTGAGAGCAGCAATAGCAGGGGCAAGGAAAGAGCAGGACGTCATTTGGCCCCCGCGGGGCCCCTCAGGTTCTTCTTGAACCCTCGGGAGCGGGCACGAATCACACTCCTCCTGCTTGGCGCTAGGGGCGGCACCATAGTGGCGATTATTTCGATCGTGGCTCGCTTCATTGCGCGGCAAAATCTGATCTTGATAATCTGTCTCGCCGGAGAGTGCCGGGCACGGTACCTCAATGCTTCGACCAGCAGGCAAAAGGTTTGTTCGGCGTGCAACGCAGGCTGCCCTCAGGGCGTTTTGACGGGTGCATTCTACACGCACTTGCGGGCTCAATTCACACAGGCTCTCGGCCGAACGATTCTTCCTACTTTGTAATATGATGGTGCTAGGCGAAAACCGCTGTAGCGGAGCAAACAAATGGGGTGATCGTCATCACCGCTGATGCACACGCAGCAAACAATGATGTTATGTTTCTGACGCGGCAGTGCGTCATGTGGCAGCGAATTGCAGCGAATCTGGGTGGCAGTAAAAATAATAAATTATCATGCGCATTCACGTATCGTTCTTGCCCTTCACCGGGGGGGGCTTCGGTTTCACTGGCGTCACGCCGTGAATCTGCCTCCAACGATTCTCCAACTCGGTCCGTACCGTTTAATAGATCGTTGCGAAATCTGGCGCAGAAAGGCTTGAATCGCGACGAAGACAAGCTGCATGACGCCCGCAGCCTGCAGGTAATGTACACGCTGTGCGAGTCGTGTCGAACGCGTACATAATGCACCTGCGCGATACAGCTCTTCATCTCCAGCGGCGTGGCCGTAGGCGTCGATCCACTCCAGGACATCACGCTTGCTGACCACGAGCTCGACACCGCGAGCGGGGCCGATAGAGCTGATGATGGTGGCAGGGAACTGTCTTGTGGCGATGGGGCGGCAGCTGGCCCTGCCGACGAGGCAGCGTTTGCTGAACTGCGGGCGGCAGCGATGGCCTCATTCGGCGGCGGGTTAGATATGTCCACGTCCCCGTCGGCGTCCTCTGGGATGTGTGGTCAACGCTCGTTGTGGCGTCTACCCAGTTGGCGACCGTCCCATCCTGGGTGATGTTCCCCTGGGGCGCCATCGGCCTTTGGCTCGCTTGGCATCGGGGTCCCGTTGAGTTCGTTCTGGTGCACGATGTACCACATGGCCGCGGAACTTTTCGATCGTCTTGAGCGGGTTCTGTGGATTGTGTGCCGCCGTGAAAAGCTGTCGGAACCCAGTGTTGATCCCGGTTCCCGCGAGAGTGGTGTAGCCCTCCGCGGCCAGCGTAGATTTCGCTGATTTTTTGACCGCGCCTGAGTGCGAGGCAGCGGGCAAGCACAGGTCGCAGCGGCCTCCAATGACGTCGCGCGTTTGTGGGTGAGGCCCATGGCTATGCCCCCTTGGTTCGGCGAGCTCGACGAAGTCGACCAGCGTGGCGGCAGTCCACTGAATGACGCGGAGCCCATCTTCGGACTTGGCGATGGTCTTGTCGCAGTATTTGACGGTGCCTTCAAGTGAATATGCTCCTCTCCGCCTCATCGTGCACTTGCCTCTCCTGCTGCCTGCCTTGCCATACCTTGACATTGGTACTGCTGTATACCGCAGCTATATATTAGCTGTTCGAGTGAGAAAGGAGCGCGCCGCTGCGCGCCCGCGTCCGGGCGTCGGCCGGCCGGCCTCTTCCCTTCCTATACTTGAGCACAGTTGCTTAACGGACAGCAGATTGTTTCATCGATGTTGTATTCCGTATCTTCTACCACTGAGCATAGTAAACATGAGACCTCAATCCCTTTGGCATCTTACCCCGATTCTCAGAAGAAATACGGGTTATCTGCCGAAACCCGCGACCAAGTCGCAACTGGAATGAGCTATGATGAGACAGCCGAAATGCCCGCGATATTACACGATGTGCATCGAGACGGGCCAGAACATCAGGACGGCGGCCCAGGGGAGGGCCGCTCTCTTCCTTCGGGTTTCTCGTGGAAGGGGTGCGGGAGAAGTCATAGATTCGTCAATAGATGAAGTCATAGATTCGTCATATCGGGTCGTATTCCGATCAGAGATCGTGAACAGACCCCAGACCCAATAAGGCGGAACGGCCCAGCCGGGAACTCCAGGCGAAGAGCCTTTCCATCTTGGATTGCTGAGTCCTCAGAAACGATACATTCCAGCCCGATTGCCATGCGTTCTATCGAGCCGGCCGCTGGCCCAGCCAGTAGGTCGCGAGACGTAAAGGACGCCGGCGGTGCGCTCCCCGCCGCCCCAGACGGTTGGGGTCGCCCGCGCGGGGGACTCACCCCGCCCCGATAGCCTTGAACGGGCAACCCGGTCAAGACAGCGACGAACAGTCTGATGACGAAGACGATGTCAATTCTATGGAGGCGGACATGGAGTATGCTAACTTTCAAGTGTCACCAAGCCGAGTTCTGCCGCTGATGAGCGCCGCTGACCACCCCGTCCCAGACGGAAGGTCGTCCCCGGGGCAGGAGACCATTGACGATGATCACCTGGAAGCTCTTGGGAAGGCACTTGCGGAACCAGATCTAGACACCACGATCAGCGACCTAGACCGCGAGGCCCCAGCGGCACATGAGCCGCGGGGAACACCTCTACCGCCCCAGGCGGCAGAGGTCGAAATGAGTTCCCAAATCCATGTAAAGCATGGCCGGGAGACCACGGGTCGAACGCCGGCTCCCCAACATAAGAAGCACAAGAACGAGGATTATGATTTGAATGCCCCCCCGCTTCAGGAGGGGTTCTACCGGGCTGCCGTCGCCCCGGGCGATTGGCAGCCGTCAGTGCCCGCGGTAGTTGAGGATGATGATATGCTTGATCCCCCGCCCTCGCTCCCAGCGTTGGTTGAACAGGATGGGCGGGATGAGGCGCTTCGAGAGGTGGCCAAGCCACCGGAGAGCGCGCGCGTTCGCTCTCGATCGTCTGCTTCGAGCAGGGGAAGGCCCAAGATCCCGCGATCTGGTGCCCGATCGACTTCGAGGAGCAACAGTGCTATTTCCACGCGAGAGGCGCGCTGGAATCGAGGCCCTAATTGCCCGCCCCAGGCGGAGAATAGGTGCCCGGGGAAAGCTAGCAAACAGGGGGGGCCTTGTAAGCGCCCAGTGTGTGGATACTGTTCTGATGTGTGTCCCAATTGCGACAATCGACGTTCATGTGAGGATTGCTTCTAGATGGGAGAACAAAAACTGCCAATGCCTTCCCATCCAATCCATGCAGGATCAGGCCAGAATCATGGAAGCTAAGAGACAGCAAGAAAACGTGGTCCTGGAAGCTCAGAGGGCCGAACAGGCTCGACTGGATCTAGAAGAAATGAACGCAGATATTGCTGATGTTCGGAAGAGGTTCGAGGCCGATAGAATCGCCCTGGCCCGA